ACAAGCATCACCCTAAAGACAGAGTTAAGATTGTTGGGGTGTTTTAACTGTGAATGTTGTCCATACTTTCAAATATAATATAATAATAATATATGGAGATATACCTATCTCATAGAACTGGAAGGGACCCCGAAAGGTCGTCATGTCCAGCTCCCTGCCTTCACTAGCAGGACCAAGTACTGATTTTGCCCCAGGTTCCTAAGTTGCCCTCTCAAGGATTGAACTCACAACCCTGGGTTTAGTAGGCCAGTGCTCAAACCACTGAGCTATCTCTCCCCCCTTTTTTAAAATTTTGTGTGTGAGTGTGTGTGTGTGTGTGTGTGTATATAAATTAATAAATAATAATCAATTGATGAATAATTATATAATAATTAAAAAACCTCTCTCATATGTATACATACACATATGTGTATATATACGTGTATACGTGTATATATACACTTGTATATACACACATATATATACACACACACACACACACACACTCACACACAAAATTTTAAAAAAGGGGGGAGAGATAGCTCAGTGGTTTGAGCACTGGCCTACTAAACCCAGGGTTGTGAGTTCAATCCTTGAGAGGGCAACTTAGGAACCTGGGGCAAAATCAGTACTTGGTCCTGCTAGTGAAGGCAGGGAGCTGGACATGACGACCTTTCGGGGTCCCTTCCAGTTCTATGAGATAGATATATCTCCATATATTATTATTATATTATATTTGAAAGTATGGACAACATTCACAGTTAAAACACCCCAACAATCTTAACTCTGTCTTTAGGGTGATGCTTGTCTTCTTTGGCCCTTTCATACCTAAGAACAGCCATACTGGGTCAGACCAAAGGTCCATCTAGCCCAGTATCCTGTCTTCCAACACTGGCCAATGCCAGGTGCTTCAGAGGGAATGAACAGAAAAGGTAATCATCCAGTGATCCATACCTTGCCGCTCATTCCCAGTTTCTGGCAAACAGAGGCTAGGGACACTTCAGAGTACGGTTTTGCATCCCTGTCCATCCTGGCTAATAGCCATTGATGGACCTATCCGCCATGAACTTATCTAGTTCTTTTTTGAATCCTGTTATAGTCTTGGTCTTCACAACATCCTCTAGCAAAGAGTTCCATAGGTTGACTGTGTATTATGTGAAGAAATATTTCCTTTTGTTCATTTTAAACCCACTGCCTATACCTAGGATATGATCCTGAAACCCTCATCCATCAGATCAAGAGTTTGCAGGGTCAGGCTCCTACATGTACTCTCCTTAGGGAGAGTGAGGCAGTATATAGAACATTCATAAGGGACCCATATAAGCCTCAAAATTACATAAAATAGTAATGCAATGTTGTTGTAGCCCCGTTGGTCCCGGGATATTAGAGACACAAGGTGGGCAAGGTAATATCTTTTACTGGACCAATAAAAGATATTACGTCACCCACCTTGTCTCTCTCTAATAAGATAGTAATGACATTTTATTATTAAGATTTAAAGTCCGTTTCTAGCCGTATAGGGCCAGGAGATAACAGACTTTAAACTCATGACCATTTTAGATACCAAAAAAAAAAAATACTGTCATTAGTGAGAGACTGAAGCTTGTCCATCTTGGACAGCAGGCAGCATATACACACGCTATTGTAATATACACATACACTTATCAAAATTGAATCAAGCAAACATTTAGAAACGACTATATTAATAAAGTACTGACAAGATTTTCTATCCAGTTTCTAAATGTAGGGACATCATTTCTAGCATGGACTTTTCATTACAACTGAAAACAAATAGGCATTACTTTACCTGCATCATAATCAAACCCTTTTTATAACTGTATTTCAAAAGTTTGCCCTGACCACTTATTTTTTGGAAAACTTACATATACAAAAACAGCATAAGAAAAAGTTATACTTCAAAAGTCTTGTTCAGAGAAAAACCCACAATGATGCGGCCACCCCCACATAGGTGGTGAAAAGGTTAATATGGACCTAAGAGGCCAATTATCACATCTGGTTGCATCTGGAGGGTGGGCCAGGTCCAAATAAAGAGAAGTCTCAGTGGGAGGAGGAGCTGGTTAGTTTCTATGGGCCTGTCTACCCTTAAAATGCTGCAGTGGCATCACTGCACCTGCGCCACTGTAGCAAAGACACTAGCTATGCCAACGGGAGGGCTTCTCCGGTCAACGTAGGTAATCCATCTCCAAGAGGTAGTAGCTAGGTCAATGGGAGAATTCTAGTGTCGATAGAGCACTGTCTACATCAGAGGTCAGGTCACTTTAACTGCATCTCTCAGTAGTGTGGATTTTTCACACCCCTAAGCAATGTAGTTAAAGTGACCTTATTTCCTAGTGCAGACCAGGCCTATAAAGAGAAGAAGTCCAAAATGAGAAGGAAGCTGGGTCTCTCAATCTCTGGGCAGTAAATGGGAGAGAAGGGTGGAAGACAGTAGCAGAGATTAAGGAGACTCCTGCACTGAGCCCCAGAAAAGGCCAACTGATATTATTATATCTTTATTATAACCCTAATCACTTTTGCTAAGTATTCCATAACACCTTGCATTAGCAGAAGTAAACTTTGGCTTAAGTAGATGGGAAAGCTGTCAGGACCAGGACATACTACATCAATAGGTAGGGAGTTATTCTCACTGACCAATGCTAGTATCCAAAACAAAGATAAGGAAAGGAACAGAACAATAATTTAAGGAATTGGGACAAGCTGATGGGTTGGATTTTAATGACATGTAAAGAGATGTGTAATTTATAAAATCACCTTATAAATACTAACAGCTGAGATGTGTAACTTTGGGAGCACATCTGCATAAGGGGAATGTAACAATGCTGCATGACGCAGCTTTCTGGAGACTGGTATAGTATTGAACCTTTTTCCTGTACTATATATAGCAATAATCCTGACGGCTACTGGCTGGTCACTTGAATAGACTTCATAATGAACCAAAGTGTGGTCAAGCAATTGACTACAATTTATTAACAAGTGACAGAGTCAAGACCTCTAAATATGCTAAAAACTGCTATCAAAGGACAGGATGAAAATAAAATACAGAACTGAAATACGCATCACCTTCAGATATCAAAGAGAACCCCAAAATACAAACATTAGTGGCCTTCAGAAATGTAAAGTTTCAGTTTTCTATGTACCACAATATAATAATGTCTGTGATTAATACTTATGTTAGAACTACTGTTCCAAATGCAAGAGAATCACCTCCTCCTCAATTTTTCCTCAGAATTTCCTATCATCAAATAGCCACGGATTTTTTTTTGGCAAAGGCTAGTTTACTCCATGTAAACATCATTTGAAGATGTAATTTAATACAAATTAAAAGATATAAATTATGTTTTGCTATGGATCATTCCTTTTCAGAGAGGTAGCACTACAGCATTTTTGAAATGAGCAAAAGAAACAAAAATTGTACCTGAGATAGCTGCCAAAATAAGCAACTATGTTTGAATGCTTACAGTCTTTCATCATAATGATTTCCTGCTGCACAACAGCAAAATCTTCCCCTGAAGAAGAAAACAATTGATATTTTTGTAGTTTTATTTAAATATCCATCCCTCTGAGTTTGGCTTTCAACATTTTTTTTTAGCTGAAGAGCTTTGGTAATTATCAGACTTTGTAATTATCTTCATTTTATATTCATGTATATTTATATAATACAGCACTTTGTAAGCCAGCACAAGTTCCAAAAACTAAGGGAATAATAGGTAAGTATATTCTTCAAATCAGGATGGAGCTCTAGTCCACTACTTGATACCTCTTAGGACAGTAGCCACAGCTCTTCTCAACCCCTTTTTAAATCCAATTACTCTTTATTTAAAGGGTAGAATTTACTCTAATGCCTGTGTAGATTCTCTTGGGGGAAGCTCTGCTAGTAGAGACCAAGCAAGTTTATATTATATATGAAGGTTAGAAGTTGGTAATAGTAATTCTGTATGTTAATAACAATGTTCCCGTTTATAGTCAGTCCTAAAAGTGAACAGCTTCCTGGTTGTTTGCTCAAGAGTCTCTGCTCTCCTTGGCAGGAATTGATGTACATAGAAAGTTCCTCACTTAATTCTTTTCCCTGGCACCTTGCTGTGTGGGTCTCCAGATGTACTATCAATAATCTATGTTCTTGAAATATGGCAAAACTTGTTACCTCTAACCACCATCTAGATCCATCTTGGATTATCTTCCTATAGAGAAATCATGTCATAGCACTCTTCAGTGACCTTGAAACAAACGTAATGAGCATACAACTATACAGAAAGTGCTAAGTTGTATGCTCAGGCATTTCTCCGGTGTTGTTACTTTACCATTTATTTGAGCCTTGCTATCTGGTGCCTAGGTTGTGCCAATCTTTCCATTACAGACTCCAATTACCAGGTTTACACATTTATAAAAACTTGGTCAAACTATAGGAATAGTGTTCTGCCCAGTGTTGGGTTTTTTGTGGAGTTTGCAATGGGACAGGAATTAATTTTACCTTTTTAAAAGTTTTTTTTCCAGATGCTATTTTGCAAGCCAATATTTCATACATAGCTTTGTGCTGATTCTTTAGGTCATTCGGACAAATTAGTATCCATATGTATTTTGGAAAAGCTATTTTTATAGGAGTTATTTACTATCTATTAGAAAATACACTTTAAAGGAGACCCCAGATTCTCATTAGTCTAAAATAGCTTTAAGAACTCGGTAAAATAAAAATATGTCTGACAGACTAAGAGCTCCAACATTTATCTCTATGAAGAATTTTCTTTAAAAAAATATATATAATTTTTATATTTTTAATATATTTATTTTAAAGGAATGTAAAGAGACAGATAGAAAAAAAATTAAGAAAATTCAAAGGTATCCTATTATGACCAGTTATTGCAGAAGTCTCTGGTCAGTGCACTGTGTTACGTATTACATTGTACCTCATTTTAGCATAACTGAATGATAATACTTTTAAACCATAAGCCAGATTTTACAAAAGACTAATGTCCAGGAGTTGAGGACATACACTAAACTTATTTTTGAATGTTTTGGCTGTAAATTGTTAGAACCTCCATGCTATTTTAAAAGCATATATGTTACCAAAAGCTAATATAGTGCTAAAGAACTTCCAACATGGTAGACTAAACTATTCCTTGTGAAGATCATGTGTTGCAAATTTAGCCCTTTAAATTTCCAAATTGTTTGCAAACAAATATTATCAGACTTGTAAAACTGTTCATTTATTTTGTGTATTGAAAGTAAGTTTCAATCTACAGGCTGCAAAGTAACTGCTCAAATTCAGCTGTGTTATTCACAGTGTATAACTGATTACCTAAGTCACATGATGCTGTTTCTGCTCCCAGACAGCATAAACAGCTAGAAATTATTCTCCTCCCCACACCCAATCTGCAACTAGCAGAGAGACTATGATCCGTCTGAAATGTGGACCTTGCCCCCATGAGCCAGGCAAAAAGTCACTCAGAAGCCCTGGATAGCTGCTTCTATATGGGATGGAGGCCAGCTAGAACTTATCACAGCTATGCAGCACCCTACCTATTAGTTGCCAAAAACCCACGCTGAAGTACAAGGTGCTAGTCACAATTTAGGCCTGTGTGGCAGAGAAGAAAATTTGAATTTTCATAGAGCCTCTCCATTTCAGGACCACCATACAATTTACATTAATCCAGAACACTGTCATGAGGGTCAAGTTCATAGGCAATGAAGGCAGACTGGAATCTGCTCGCCCAGAAATAGTATATTTGAGTATAAGCTTGGTCATATTTAGAAAGAGTTGCAAGACATCTTTTCCACCTACTAAAAGCTGAGAAATCTGGTAATGCAACTGTCTGCCCATGACTCTGTCTACTCTATAGCTCCAGGGGGAGCATAGTGTTTCTATTCCTCTTACCCAGAACATTAACCCAATATAAATCATGTAAGGCCAACTACTGTGGTGGTGGTCCCCTCTTTATATTACTGTGCGAGATGTCCTGAGAATAGTTCCAGTTTCACAAACATGTCTTGTTTAGGACTATCATACTATTAAACTGACTTGTACTATTTAGGATGAGATGGGTATGTGCAATAAACATATACAAAACATATCCAACTACAAATATAATCAGTTAAAATATTAAGATTTTTCTCTTCTAACCTGGACCTTAAAGTGAAACAGTGCAACAGCTAAAAAGTAATAAACTAAACGTACATCTTACAGCATCTGTTATGCTCATCAAGTCTAATCAGACCAGTCCTCAGCCCTAAAACACTTTATGATATGTAAATGAGATACACTTTGTAGAATCCAATCATATTCACAATTAATACATAGTTCTATTGTAGTGGCCCACCAGGTCTACTTTAGCTTTCCATTCAAAAGCTGAACTTTTCTAAGTGCTCTAAAACCTGCATGGTTACTCAGACTGACTTGAAATCTGGTATGCCTCGTGAGCAGAGATCCTAGAAATCCGTTTGCCATGGAAAAACACAGAATTTGCATTTTTACAGGGAACCTTTAGTTTTTACATTTTGTGAAAAAATAAAAACATCTATTAACTAAATTTTACTGAAAGTACCAGTGTCACTTATTCCAAAGGTTTTCAAATTAGCGAGCACACCCCCATGGCAAGAGGGGGGAAGGGTACATGAGAAGCTGCTGGTGACAGCGCTGCCTTCAGAGGCTTGGCCAGCAGCCACCGCTCTCTGGCCGCCCTGAAGGCAGAGTGGAGAACAGCAGCTGCTGGCCAGGCACCCAGCTCTGAAGACAGTGCCACCACCAGCAAGCACAGAAGTAAGGGTAGCATAGTATGGTATTACCACCCTTACTTCTCCACTACTGCTGCTGGAGGCACTGCCTTCAGAGCTGGGCGGCCGGAGAGCAATTCTATTAATTGTATTATGATTGATGGCACTGGTAGGCTTCGGAATTGTTTAAAAATTGTAAATATATCAATAAAACATTGTGTTCAACTGATACCTATATATATTGTGGCTAGGGAATCTAAAGTTCAGCATTTCATTGAATCATGGTAAAACATGGATTTTTATGCTTTTTTATTGGAGAATTTTGGTTTTTTTAATCATGGAAAACTAGGATCCTGCTCATGAGGACTCTCTGGCTAGGGTTAGTGAACCAAATTTGGGGTAATTTGACCAAGGGGTTCCTGAGATACAGCTTTTAAACAGGGGGGTGGAAAGCTCTCTTAAGGTTGACATTTTCCTGAATGTTTTATTGGGAATCAAACCATGGCTCTGATCCTGGCACAGGGATCTCAACTGCTTGAGAGTTAGCCCCAGCTAGTTCTTGGCACCCACTACTCTTTTGGGGGGAGCGAAATTCAGTAAAATATTCTCCAAAGAGTTTAGCGCACACACTCAATGGATTACACTGAGCATTAGAGGACAGAGCCAACAGGGGTTGTAGTCCTATAAATTTTGTTACAGCTGGATAGCTCAACGGGATAAGCAGTAGTCCTTTGAACCCCACCCACCAAGTGTCAGTTCAAAACCCACTTGGGGAAGAAATCTGGAAAAAATTTTGTAGGCATTTTATTCAAAGCTTTTGGGGGGGTTGAGGGTATTTTATGTAAGGGGAATTTAATCAAAGTAATTCTTGGAGGGGGGGGGGAGAATTACACACTCAAACACTAAGTCTACTCCCAAAACCAGTCCCAAAAGTTGTTAAATTTTACAGCCCTTCACTCTTACCCAAAATATTCCATTTAACACTACTACACTTTCACTTACCCATCATTAAACCCACCAACTGCTCTCATATCCACTGCACTGCTGATAATCTGCATGGCAAGACCACCCCTGTGCCCCCTATTGACAACCTGCACAATTCAGCGCTGGAATGCTGAACAGTAGATCCCACCTTACACTAAACTGAAGCTTTAAAAAGTTTCATTTTAAACGTTTTGCACCCATTGTTTGCTCATTTCTAGTAAAGCTTTTTAGAATATATCTACACTCATTGGTGCCAACTCCGTGGGTGCTCCAGGGTTGGAGCACCCACGGAAAAAAAATTAGTGGG